TGCAAGGTACTACTGATTACAGAGTGAACAAGTCACAGGTCTGTAAATTACTACTGATTACATGGTTCACATTGCAAATTACTACCAACTCTACAGTTAATTCCAGGCCTTTAGTTGGGATACAACCAGATGTGGTGTGCGTGTGTTAGTGAGGACAGAACCTGATTTGTGTGTGAGTTTATGTGTATAATGACTTTAACATTTGTGTCTTGTGTCTCCAGCAGCAGGAGGCCCCGGTGGTGGACGACCTCGGCACAGAGAAGGTGATGGCACTGTATGACTACACAGAGAAGTCGCCTCGCGAAGTTTCCATGAAGAAGGGAGATGTTCTTACACTCCTCAACTGTGCCAATAAGGTAACACGTATAGAGTGCTACTACACCCATATACTTTTGAATCCATATGATAGATTTAAACAGTTAACAGGAGACAGATAAACTTCCATTTCTAATGTTTACTAATTCTTTGTATGATATGTAACTTATGGAATGTTGTTTAATATTGAATAAAATCATTAGAAATTAAAGAAAATAACAAGTTTATACAGACTTTTTCTGTTCAGTTTGAAGTGATTTCCTGCCAGCATTCATTAACATGTTAACTGTAACAAAGTGTTTCATTACTAAGCTGTGTATTTATAACAGGACTGGTGGAAGGTCGAGGTCAATGATAGACAAGGCTTTGTTCCTGCTGCTTACGTCAAGAAGCTTGACCCAAGTCTGTCTGCAAGTCGTAACAACCTGATGGACGAGTTTACCATCTCTGTCAGACAGAACCAGATAGAGACACAGTAAGTCATAGCCATACTGTCATCAATATAGAAACAAAAATCGGCTTATGACACACAAAGTTTGAAGTAGCTTTTCTCTAATCTCTCTTCTGTATTTTACATTTAGCACAATTTGATGATAAATGTGGTTTTCAAATTTTCTTTCTTAATTTATACATAATTAATTTCAGATGGAGGGTAAAAATGTGAAATCTTCAACAATATTGTGGTATTCAGGATGTGTCAAATTAGTCAAATCTGAATGTAATTGAATGAAAGTTGTTTATGAACTTTGAAGCTTTATGAACTTTGGAAGCCTTTGAAATATAGTTAAGGATTGAATTTAGTAGTTTGCTGTGGTATCTGTAGTTCCAGGTATTTTGTCTTGTAGGATGAAACTGTAGGGACAAATCGTCAGTCATCTGAGGGACACTTGTAATTCAATGAATTCTGAAAAAATAAATCTTTTGAGTTTCACAATGTTACTTTGCAGGTATGCTAATCTGTTAGACCAAGGAAACCAGCGTCGTGAGAAACTCCAGGAATCGTGCCGTGCCTATCAACTGGTGCGTGAAGCCGGGGAGCTGGCATCCTGGATCACCGAGAAAGAAACCATGATTGTTGGTGATGAAGTCGGGGAAGATCTGGAACAAGTGGAAGAGATGCAGAAGAAGTTTGATGACTACCAGAAGGTTAGTAGATTCTCCTCTCTCCCACTGTATCTAATTGGGCACCGGCCATTTTATAATTGAACTTTGATCTCTACTGATGTATAATGGAATTTGTATCGTACTCATCTAAAGTGTTGAAATTAAGGTGTATGAATTGTAATAAAGTGATAGCATTAATTTTGTGTTAAAGTTTTAATTGAATATAATATTGAAATTGTGTTGTGTATAGGATTTGAAGCAGAATGAAGCAAGACTCCAGGAGCTGAACACGATTGCTGACAAGCTAACAGCCATGGGGCGTACAGAGGCGGCCGAGAAGATCCGGGAGCAGATTGCTGTATGTCTGATGATATTTTGTGATACATTTTATGAATCCTGTAATACATTGACATAATTTTTCAAATACCAAAACTCCCTTTCAAAAGCAAACCTTGTGTTTTTTCCAATGGTGTTATCAAGGCTATAGATGTTATTTCATATTGATGTACATATTTTGAGTTTACAGTGTCAGCAAATGTATTGAGAATGTAGCAATTATATTAATATTTTAATATTGAATATATTTTGTACATGATAAAATATATGTATGTTGACAATACGTGGTTAGTAGATTACTTAACATGAGCGTTATGTACTTGTTACAGACCCTGAACAACAGGTGGGAGAACCTGCAGGCAGTGACGGCTGTCCGGGCCGAGACCCTGGGGAGTGCCCACGAGGTCCAGAGATACCACAGGTAAATAATC